TTTTTAACAGCTTTTGTTGCTCAGTTAGAAATACAGAAAAATTGTGGTAGTTATGGAACATTGTTTCCTTTTTGCTATTTTGGTTATTATTCCGTGTTCTTTGGTGCATTATATAATTAAATAAAAATTATTTAATGCAGTAGTACTATTAGTATAAAAAAGTAGGGTAAAATTTCATCGACTTTATTTCTTGTTTTTCATGTGTATTTTTTATTTATTATTATAAAAGTAACTGAAATGTAAACATTATAAACTTTTTAGGCTAGATAAAGTAAAATATTTAATAATAATAATTTTTATGAAGTATGCTAATGAGTTGTCCATACATTATGTAATTCAATACCGTAATGTGAGCTGCACATTCCCCACATGATTTGCAATTTATATAGTGCTAATATTAGTTAGACATTGTTCAAAAGACAATGAAACAATAAAATTTAAGTATAAATAGATATATACTGTTACAAGCTTTAAGCTACTTAGGATAAACAATTGTAGTTTCTGTTATACTTTGCAGTCATTACAGATAGCAGATAGGGGAAATTTAGAATTATTTCCTAATTCTTTATGGTAGTTATAAGGTCGGTCAAATCAAACGACCTCATATAGAGTTAAATATTATACCTCAAAAGCATTATAAAATCTTGTCTGTTATATGACAGTGTTTTCATATTCCTTGAGTTATGCACATATTTTAGAGATAAATGACAAGTAGTTTTAATTTTAAAATCTTCAAGGTGGTTCTTTACTTTCAACTTGAAAATAATTTGTAAGATGTCAAAGTTTAGTGGTTGGTACACAAGCAAGTCCTTACAATAATTTGTTTATAAACAACATGTTAATTAGACCGAAACAAATCATAAAGGAAAACAAAAAATCAAGTAGACACTTCTAAGTAATGCTACCTTATAAACAGAAGATATTTTCATGTTTATTAAAAAAGCTGTTCCTTTTATCCTCTTACATATTGTCTTACTTTAGCACTTGCCGAGGGTAACCAACATGTAGTGTACATTGTAAATAAAAATTTGATGATGAGGAACCCACTTTGAGACTAATAATGCTTGGAGATGACGTGAATGGGTAATGAAGAAAACTTTAATACAAGTTTAACAAAACAGCAAATTTACAACGTTTTGTCATCATCAGTTTATTAAATTCATTCTATGGGACTCTTGAAAATCTCACTGGAACTCTTGAAAAAATAAGTTGATAGTCTGGGACCCTAGTGAGAACTCTGTTGATAATACAACAGCTTTCACACCAAAGTCTATATCTCATGCTTCTCGATGTCACCATGATAGGCAATATTTTATAATAATTTAAAACTTTATATTGTTATGGCCATAGTTTATATAGAAGTGAAGAATGAAACTTTAATACTGAGAAATATTACACTAAAATGCTTTATTATTTGAACTATTATTTGTATGTTTGGTGCAAACAGTTTTTATTTGGCATTCAATTTTTGTTATAAATTGAATATTGATTGTAATTGTTCTTCAACCCTTTCTATTCAGGTCACAGGTGAAAGGCCATGTCATCTCATTTGTTGACTCGCATTCAAAATTTTATTGAACTACTATATTTGAATTTATGTCAATAAGTTTGGTATCAAATTGTAGATTATAATTCAAATCTTATAACTATATATTACTCAATTTGTTAATTTAAAAACAAATATTAAAAAACACAGATAAACATTGATTTTTGTGTGTCATGTGGTATGTTGAATGCAATACTGGTTCAAATTCGATATTTTTGAAGACAAAATACTAAGTCTATAGTTTCATATGAAATAGAAACTTAAATTACAGATATTGATAAGCTAGAATATAAAATAAGAACGTCTTATTATTTGCTAAGATATTGCTCACGCTAGGTACATTAGAAAGGCTTAGAAAACGACTAGGGGGACATTGTGAGCTTCTGATTGGTTATTCATGTCACTCACAGTGTTTATAATGGAGCATTTCTAAAAATGAAAGGAGGTAAGCAGGGTGCCACTATGTTGGATTTATTATATCAAGATTTCAATGAGGTAGTTTGTGTCTTTAGTCTGCTCAAAATCTCATATTTTGTTAGAGTAAAATGCATCTTAGTTACTAAGCTTGATAAATGATAGTTGAATTCTATGGTATTGATATAGTAATTTATGATTTTCTATTCATCAAATGTATATATAAAACCTATCCTCCATGTGCAAAATTTGTAAAAGCTTAGCAACATATGTCAAGCAGCAACCGAGTACAAAGGTCGTAACTAGAAGAGACAATTGTTTGCGTTACTTCTTTATTTACTGTTCTAAAACACAGCCAAGACAAGTTACTTTGTACAGAGCAAAGGTCACCTTTATGTTATTTAATACAGTAACATGAGCACCCTGAGCCGCCGCATCTTTGTAACTTCTGTATTGTTAGCTAGGCACAGGTGAAAGAACAATATAATAAAAATAATAAATATATATAAATGTATAATCTTATGAGATTTAAGCTATTTTGTTTAAACATTTATATTTTTGTGTTATAATTTGTGTTCATTCTAGCATGAAAGATGCATAATTTGTTTATTTACTAATTTTTTATGGTGGTTGCGAGATCGGTCAAATTTACCGAACCCATTTAATTACTGAAAATAACAGATA